CTCTCTCTCTCTCTCTCTCTCTCTCTCTCTCTCTTTTTTTTTTTTTTTTGAGGATGCTGAAGAATACACAGACCTCCCAGTGCGGCACAATGAAGATCAAATGAACAGTGAACTGGCCAAACATCTGCCCATTGAAGTCAATCCACATTCTTTTGACAGCTCACACACCAAATGTCATCTTCTGTTGCAAGCCCACTTTGAACGTGCAGTGCTACCGTGTCCAGATTATGTCACTGACACCAAGACAGTGTTAGACCAGTCAATCAGAATATGTCAGGTACAGTTAATTTTTTTTTTTATCCTTAATGGTCTAGTTTGGTATTATGGCTGCCAGAATCTAGATTTGAAAATATGCCTGGATTGTTCATAGTGATTATATCATAATGTAATTGCACATTTTTAATGTATAAAGTCTCACAGTCCTTATGTCATGCATCCTCACATCAGTCATATGGGGTAGATTGGCCTTATTAACAAAATATCTTGCCTATTTTATTCAATTAAAATAAATTGGATTGAACTACAGTATTTTGGGAATATACATACAAGTTTATAAACGCCCCCAAAATACTTCTTCAGATAAAATACTCCTTCAGATAATGGCTACAATCCAATAATCACTAAAAATCATTTTAGTGTGTATACATTTCATACATTACCACAGTATTGCAGTTTCACACTGTTTCTGGCCAACATATAAAATGATTTTCATAAAAGGTCAAAAGTTAAATAGGAATTTGATGAAGCTCTATCCATTTTTTAAATCCAGGATCATCATGTTTATTTATTATGAATTTCTTTACTATCACAGTTGATAAGATAGTATCAGTTGTGGCATTTCAGTTCAGTAAGCTAATCACAGTTCCACCTAACACTGGTCAAGCAAATTCCCAAAACAGAAGCAATTTTTCTCAGGCTTTGTTTGACATAATCTATAACAAATGCCTTTTTGCACAGAGAAAGTAGCATATATACAAATAAGACAGTGTTATGTTTATATATTTATGTTGGGACTGGTATATACATAGGGTTGTAATTTCTATCTGTCTCCATCTACCAGTGGAGTTCAGATTCTACTGCTCTCTACACATTCCCTGGAAGTGTATTGGAGCTTTAAGTCAGAGGATAATGGGGAAGTTTCTGCTGCATGAGTAAAAGTCTCATGTAGCACTGGACATAGCCCTGGCAATAAAATGGAAGGTACTATTTTTTGTTTTTTTTTTGTTTTTTTAACAGAAGCCTTTTCTATCTCATTCTCTGCTTGAGAATAAGACTGAATTTCATTAATACTGGGTTCTAAATACTACCACTGAGTATATACAAATCAGTAGTTAAATAAGGTATTTTAAAATGCTTGAAAGTTACTTCTAGGTACTTTAAGACAGCACGTTCTTTATTAGTAGAGTACATATGATTCTAATTTGTCCCTATTTTAATTTAAGTGATATGTGAAAAACTTTTGTTTTCTTTCCTTTCTAATCTTTACCATGGGGTCTTCAAATAGCTGTCATCCTGCCATCTGGAACACTTTATTGAATATATATTGATTAAAACAGTGATCTAAAATAGTAATACATTATATTTTCCATTCAGAGGATTATTGCTTCTTTTCCAGAATAATTTGATAGTTTATTTTTATTTATTTATTTAGTCATATTTATATGGCCGCCCATCTCACAAAATGTGACTCTGGGCAGCGTATAATAAAAAACTAAAAAATAGTAATATAAAAACAGTTAACAAGTAAAAAATATTAATATTATGATTAAAAGGCAAGGAGTAGGCAACAGATATTAACAGCAATGGAGCCATCTCAACAACTCACCATTCCCTTGGAACCCCCAGGCCTGATGACATATCCAAGTTTTGGGGGGCTTATGGAAAATTAGTTGTCTGCCTTGTGTTTAAATTATCCACGAGACTCCACTTTACTAGAAATGTTGATAAAATATTTCAGTACTTCCATAACCTAAGGCTGCCCTGATATTCAGCCTTAATCTTTTGAGAAGTGTTTACCCTGTATATGTTAAGCACATCTCAGTGGTGTACCTATACTTTGAGAGAAGAGTTATGACCACATTTTGTTCTGCACTTAGTGAGGGAAATATCCATATCTTGCATTGCTATATCTGTTTTTTATGTCAGATCCTTCCATCTGTTTGCACACACAAATATTTAGTTGGGCTTTCTGCTTGAGGAAAAG